AAAAGTTACCCCAACTTCTTTTTTTTTTTTTTTTTTGATCCGTCCTGGGCCTGAACTCTGGGCCTGGGCGCTGTCCCTCAGCTCTTCAGCCCAAGGCTAGCGCTCTACCACTTGAGCCACAGCGCCACTTCCAGCTTTTTTTTCCTTTTTGCTTATGTGGTACTGGGGAATCAAACCCAGGGCCTCATGCATGCAAGGCAAGCGCTCTACCACTGAACCACCTTCCCAGCCCTACCCCAATTTCTTAAACACACCTGTGTCTAACATGAGGTCTGTGCAGAGAAAACAGGAAGGTGTCTGCCCTGCTACCCTTTCATAATTGGCTTTATTGATCTTTCTGAAGTGGCTCTGAGCTTTGTGGTTATAAAAAAAAAAAAAAAAAGGAAAAGAAATCATTGCTTAGGAAACACTGAGATTCCAGGAAACGGTCTCGATGTTCCTTCCTACTGGCTAATTTCCTTTCCCTTCTAGCAAATTGGAGGCCACATTCTATCTGCAAGAATTAACCTAGCCCAGTTTCCACCACCTCCACCTCACCCCCACCCCCACTCCCCCCACCCCCAAATCTGACAAATGGCTTCACACAGTTGGCTGCTCTAGGAGGAAGGAAAGCAAGCCCTAATGATCATCATGATCGTCTGGAGACCATCTCTGATCGCCTGGCAAGTTAAACCATTTCGTGCAGTTGTGAGGAGGAAGAGAGGAAATGAGATTCCTCTTGCCTTTGATCTCAGGAAGTGTGGGGCTCAGATTTCTAACAGATGCCAAGCAACCGATCTGCGTCCCTTCAACATTTCTTGTGCTCAACCATACTGGGCGCTGGAGGAGGAAGACCGAGCAGAAGCTGTGACTCCAGCCTGTCCAGGTGAGGCCGGGCAGCAGAGTCCTGCCTGGGGGCTCTGTAGCCTCTACCCTGCCCTCGCTCACACCCTGCTGCGAGGAATAAAGCTGACATCCAGCTGACACTGCACTTGGAAGAAGGTGCCGGAAGTCTCATATGGGCTCCATTACCGACCATCAAATTAGGATAATGCTGTGCCAGCAGACAGGAAAAGCACAAACAGACTTCTGACTCGGATGAAATATCGCCCGGAGAACACCTGCTTTCTTAAAGGGAGTTTCCAAGTATTTCCTGGAGTATGTTCGTGCTTCTGTCTAGAATTTCTGAGAATGGAGCCGTGGCCTGAGGATGCTTTGGACACGCCAGTGACAGTTTGTGGGCAGGGAAGGAGGATCTTCTTACAACTCAAAGGGTTTGGGCTGCACACCCCGGGCTAGAGTCTAGAACCTTCTCTCAGCCGTGTTCATTTTGATGTTCCCGATGATTTTAAAACATTTTCATGAGTCATGCATGCTTCATTTAATCTAAAATTTAATAGATAATGAAGTTACCTGGTTCACAAGACATCACAAAGAGATATCTGTCCACCAATGCCATTTTTTTAATGTTCCTTTCTGGGATTTCTTTAGGCAGATATAAGCAACTAAAACATGAATTCTTATTTCTTTTTTTTTTTCAGTTAATACCTTCCATATCTTCCCATAAAAAACCTCTTCACTTGGAAGTCTTTTGTTGTTGGTGGTGGTGGTGGTTGTGGGGCTTGAACTCTGGGCCTGGGCACTGTCCCTCAGCTCCAGCTCAAGGCGAGCGCTCTACCACTTGAGCCACAGCACCACTTCCAGTTTTCTGGTGGTTCATTGGAGATAAGAGTCTCATGGACTTTCCTGCCCGGCCTGGTTTTGAACCATGATCCTCAGATCTCAGCCTCCTGAGTAGCTAGGATGACAGGTGTGAGCCACCAGTGCCCAGCTCATTTGGAATTCTTTCATGAATTTTTCCATGGAATAATGGATGGATGGATGGATGATGAGTGGATGGATGGATAGATGGATACATGAATGGATGATGATTGATTGATCCAGGTCCCTATTAATTTTTTTATTAATTTCCTGGGATCAGTAACTGAAAATGTCTTAGTTCACACATGTGAATTTGTAGGATCAGTAAAAGAATATATCATATGATTAAAATTTTAGTATCAGTGCCTAATTGCTCTCCAGCTGGACTGAATTAATTTCTGATTTTATCTGGCAATGCCAGAAGGCCTCCATTGGCCCAGCCAGCTGGGTAAGTGCATTTATGAACAAGCAGGTATATATTTTTTTAATTTTCAGTCTTTCATGATTTCTAGGTTTCAAGTCAGAGACACAGAGCCATCATGACTGTGAGCACAAAACGTTTGGCATACTTTCTCCAAGTGTTTCTGTCCACTGGGATTTTATTTTGGCATGGGGTGGGATTGTGATCCAAGTTAAGTTTTGCCCCAGATAGTTGTTCTGCTGTCTCCTCGGTGTTTCATTGGAAGTCTTCCTTCACTTACGTGATTCCAGGCATCACCTTTGTTGTGTATTACATCTCCATGTATCTTTGTACTAATAAGGATAACAAAGTGGAAACATATATAATAGGGAAGAGGATAGGAGAAGGGAACTTAAAACCCTTGGTAAAGATGAAATTTGAATAAGCACTTGAAGGAAGGGAGTCAAGACAGAGCAGTACTTACACGCTCAGGCCGTTTGGCTTGGGGTCTGGTCCCAGCTCTACTCTGGTTTCAGGCCAGTCTTCAATCTGTTCATCTGCCAACTTATTCATAGGTAAAATGGAATTCTAAACAGTGTGTTCTTCACAGGACTCTTGTAAGAACTAAGTTGGATCTTTTAAATCGTTTTCCATGCATCCTGGCATCTAGAGCTTAGTCATTCTACTAGTTTTGTGAATGTGTTTCCTTCTGTCACACATTCCTCAGATAAAATTCATAGGTACAAAATATTTTCTTCCAAGGTGCCACTACATGTTAGTTTATTCAATTATTCCAGCAGAGTTAGACTTTCAGAGACACCCTTTGCTGCCTTTCTTCCTGTACTATTCTATAAGTTTTGTGAGTCTTGAAAATACTATAGATCCACACACAGCTATAAGAACTGTAGAGATGCCTTGCTCAGCAGGTAGAAAGCGCTCACCACACTTCAGACACCAAGTGCCGCCCATGGCGAGCACCTCCCTCCTCAGCAGTACTAAACTAAACTCCTGGCTAGCACTGGTAAGTTCTCTCATTTCAAGAAAACAATATAAACAGAACCACATATAGTGCACATTCTTTCTTCATGTGTGTGCTGGTACTGGGGCTTGAACTCAGGGTCTGATTGCTATCCCTTAGTTTTGTCCACTCCAGGCTGGTGCTCTGCCACTTGAGCCACACCTCCATTTCCAGTTTTTTGCTGGGTAATTGGAGATAAGAGTCTCACAGACTTTTCTGCCTGTGTTGGCTTTGAACCTTGATCCTCAGCTCTCAGCCTCCTGAGTAGCTAGGATGACAGGCGTGAGCCGTCGGTGCCCAGCTGAAATGTAAATCACCAGTTGATGGAGGGAAAGGGCTAACCGCCCCGCACATGTCTGGGCATCCCTTGCTGTCTCCCCAGTGCAATGCATGCATGCTCAGCCCTTCTGGCAGGACTGTGCCTACCAGAGATCCGCCTAGTAAAAGCTATTTTTTACAAGAATACATAATGAGTATTTTGCTATTATTTTATATTATTCTAACTTGCTAAGCCGCAAAATTTACATGGCTCTTGTCCCAGAAATGTGGTAATTTGTCCCACCAAAGTAGAGATGCAGGAGAGATGAAAATAAAAGTGTGGGCCAGGTACCAGGTACCATATTCCTAACTATTCAGAGGACTTGAGATCCTGAGGCATACAGTCCAAAGTCAGCCTGGGCAATAAAACCTGTGAGATTCCATCTCCAAAATAACCAGCAAAAAGCTGGGCTAGAGACCTAACCCAAGTTCTAAAACACCTGCCAAGTAAGCAAGTCAAGCCAGTATGAAACCCTGAGCTCAAACCCTAATGCTGCATAAATCCTCCTCAGTAAGGACACTGGACAACAAATAACACTTCAACCAACAAATACAATAGGTGATATATACAATGTTACAGGGCAACTTAGGACAAGAGAGAGCTGTGCCTACTCTCCTATTGAGAAAAGCCAGTGGGTACAGAAAGCCTGACCCACTTAGACAAAGTTTTCAGGCACTCTATGTCTATTAAGTAGTCAGATGATACATATGTATTACATGCCATCTGCGGGTCTCTGTGGGCTTGGTACTTGGAGAAACAACAATGAGCGAGGGAGACACAAGCCCCGCCTTTGTGGCCAGAATGGAGAGGGGGGCAGGAACAGGGAGAGGTGGAGAATTTGGTGAGTACCACACCATGTAAAATGTTGGGCAGCCTGTGTCTGGGCCTGGGCCTGACTCCAGAACCACGGGAGGCCGTGGGAGGGTGGGAGGGGGTGGAGGAAGGGGTCTGTTGAGTGGAAGATGGGATGGAATGAGGACACCCTGAGAGATGCCAGAACTCGGCCCAGGACAATGGCTGGGGCAAGGTTGGCAGAGCGAGAATGCAGGCGGTCCTGCTGGGTGCGTTAGAGGAGAAAATCGATTCTTTTCATGTCACATCCCTGCCACCCCTGAACCCCCAGAGCCCACGAGCAGAATGGTTAGGGAATTAGGTTGGTCTGTTGGGTTGGTTGGAATGATTCACTACTGCAGGGCTGATGGGAAATCCAGTAGAGCCATCTGCAGGGACGATGTACAAGGACCAAGTCAAGAGATAAGAACAGCAAGATGGGGGCACCACCAGCCCTCACTCAGCCTCCTTGCAGAAGGGACAGGAAAGGGGTTTTGTTTAGAACAGCGCCTGCATCCCCACGTCTGCCCCTTCACGTCCTCTGAGCAACCGCAGATGCTAAGTGTGTAGAGACTGGGGGAAGGGACAGGGGAAGGGCGCTCACAAACCCCCCATTGTCCTGCACGCCCCGTGGGCAGAAGAAGTATGGCTGGAATTAGGGGGTGAGGGAGAAAGGGGTGTGAAGCAAAAACATGCGTTTGGTAGTTCACATTCAACAAGCTGCAACTGTGAAAAGTCTGTGTCGCTCCCAGGAGACAGGGGACAGCAAGGAGACAGAAGGACGAGGAGTTGAAACTGTGAGTGGCTCTGGCCCTGGAAACCCTGAAGACCTGGAGATCCCCAAGGAGGACTGCCAGACAACGCAGACGGGCGAAAACAGCTCCATCATGAGTTTCTTTAAGACGCTGGTAAGTACATTTCTTTCTTTGCTCCCCCAATGCGGTTGCCAGTTGGGAAGATTCTAAGAATAATGCGTATCTGAATGTGGTTATACAGCATGGATGATAGTTCCGTAGGTTGGTTCGAGCCACGCAAAAAGTACTTAGTCAGGGAATTAGATGAGAGAGATCAGGGCTGGAGCCAGGACAGGAACTGTGGATGCCCAAACTGTGACCCGCGAGCTGCATCCTATGAAATGCTATTATTGCACATTGATCTCTTCTGGTCACTGGTGATTAAAGTTATTGGGAAATACTATCCTGAGGTGCTCACCTATCAAAGCAACTTTGCCACTCACAAGGCTAAGCAAATATTGTAGAAATCAGTTTCTATCTTGTACACCTACGTCTAGTACTTTAATTGGCTGGAGACCCAACTTGTCCTGACATTGCTCACTTAGCTCTGGCCTCTGCACTGCCCTCACCCCCACCTCCAGAGCAAAGCCCAGGGCCTGGCATGGCCCAGACACTACCTATCCCGGTGGATGCCAGGTACTCAAAGGAGAACTGAGTAGATGAAGGTAAAACCAGCCAGCCCCAAATGGTCTGGACTCTAAGCAAACATCAAGACTAACCTCAAAAGATAAAATGACAACAAGCCCACAAAACATGTCTGGGATCACGGTAACAGATCATGTCTGGGATCATGGTAGTAGAACTAATAGCAAGTCCGTGGCCTTTCAGAACATACGTTTGAAGGTGGTCCAACTCTTGATGACTGTATAAGCTAAGATGTACTACAAATATTATAAATACATAAATATGATGATAGGTACAAATATCATTACAAAATATTCATCTTGTTAATTTTTTATTACTCAGAGGTCACTGGGGTTTGTACTGATCTAAAAATGCTATTTCGGGAGGGGGGAGGGGCGAGGGGAGGATGGGAAGGGGAAACAAAGGAGGAGGCTGCAATGCTTGGTAAGAAATGTACTCATCATCTTGCCCATGTAATTGTAACCCTTCTGTACAGTATTTTCACAATAAAAATAAAAAATAAGAATGCTATTTCCTTCTTTGCTAGTGTACATTATACCAACCTAAAGAATTATGCATCTATGAAATAAAATTCAACCCAAAGACCTGTGGTTTTTAACATTCAATTTTTTTTTCAAACTTTTCAGGTTTCGCCTAACAAAGCTGAAACAAAAAAAGACCCGGAAGATAAGGTAGGGAGCCTAAAGTCCTTCTGTGTTTGGCTTTGTGCATGGAATTGGGTTTAGCTCTCTGGCTGTTTGACTCTTTGTTTTTTTAGTGTACTGTTTATTTGGATGTTTTAAATCATGTAGACAGAGCTCAGATGTCCTGCTATTATCTTTAGAAAACAGATAGGAGAGAACTGGTTTTGGTTTGAATTGCGGGTTTTCTGGGGGAGGGGTTGAGATGTAGTAATCTGGGTCATTTAGCTAGGTCACTGTGTACCTGAGCTTGACCATGAAGTTCAGCAGAACACTTGGGAGTATTTAAAAAAAAAAAAAAAGATAACCATCCGTAGGTTGTCTTGTGGTTAGGGGATGGAGGTAAAACAGCAGCAGTTAATTGTCACCCTGTACTAGTGCCCTTTAAAACAACAGAAAGAAAGCCAATGGACTTATTTAAAAACAAAATTCTAAGCTGTTAATGCCATTGCCCACAAGGCACCCAAAGCCGAAAGCCTGTGTGATGGACAAGCTGGTCAGATGACATCCGAGAGCCAGGCTAAAGGCAGCAAGAAAAAACACCTGGACAGCCCCAGGCTAGCGCTGCACTTTAGGAAATTCTTTAGGCATAAGGTCTGTATCTTGGTACATCTGGAGGAAGAGGAAGGACTCTGGTCTTCGCCACAGATGCTCAGGCAGCCCAGGCCCTCAGCTCTGCTTGATGAAGCCTGAGCCTGGGGTAGCTGGATCATTAAAATGGGGTGATTTAGGGGCTGGGAAGGTGGCTTAGTGGTAGAGTGCTTACTTTGCATGCATGAGGCCCTGGATTCGATTCCTCAGCACTACATAAACAGAAAAAAAGCTGGAAGTGGTGCTGTGGCTCAAGTGGTAGAGCGCTAGCCTTGAGCTGAAGAGCTGAGGGACAGCGCCCAGGCCCAGAGTTCAGGCCCTATGACCAACCAAAAAAGGGGAGGGAGGGTTAATGTATTATGAGCCTGGACTCAAATCCCCATTTTATAAGCATCTCTGTGGACCAGGGTTCTGAATTTATTCTCACCTCATGTTTCCCAAATATCGCTCTTTTGCATACCTGCTTGGCCACTTTCAGATAAACTATTCTATGTAGAAATTCATCATCTCTTATCTTAAAAAGAACTGTTATATAGTTCATCATACCTGGAAAGCAAAGCCACTCCGCATACGAGAAAGATAACCATTCTTGTGGTTAATCAGCGGTGACATCCTAACTTTCCCATTTAAGTACAGATCTGGATCCAGTGTGCTTCTGGCTTACTGAAAAAGCAGCTGGCTAATAAGAAAGAACATTGTAGCCAGCCAGCACCCGAAGGAGACTTTCCAGGGCACATTACTGGATGGACCATGTGAGAATTGGAAAAGGGAAAGAATTTTCACAATCGAATGTTATTGTGTATTGTACTTCTGTGCAACTTGAAGTTATCTCTGGCCGGGTAGTGGTATGCTGACTGCACTTTGGGAAACACTCTTCTAACACCAAGATAACGTGTCTGTCTGTTTGTATCTAGTTCCTGTGTTTACTAAACTTGTACTGACCCTCAGTAATAGCCAAGACAATTAACATCAACAACAACAAAAAACCCACAATGAATGAAGGCAGAGCCCGTCATGGCTGCCTGTGGAGGGAACGTGAGGACAACATGAGGTCATTGTTGGAAACACCACTGTCCTGACATACAGAAAGATGCCATTGTGTGCCGGAAGCTATCAACTAAAAAGATTCCCCGAAGAACTGGTGGCTCAGGCCTGTAATCCTAGCTAGTTAGGAGGCTGAGATCTGAGGATCAGCAGTTCAAAGGCAACCCAGGCAGGAAAATCTGAGACTCTTATCCCCAAGTAATCACCAAAAATGCTAGCAGTGGAGCTGTGGCTCAAATGAGCTCAAGCCCCAGAACTGGCATTTTTTTTAAAAAATCCTCATACTGGATTTTCATGCTAGGAAATTTTATTAAAATAAAACATTAACTATTCTCTCTACCAAGTGGACCTTACAGTCCCAGGACTGTGAGTATAAGTAGAATCTTGATAGAAAGTTCTCCTGGCTGAATCTATATGTGTATAACCCATGCGATGAAGACACCCTCAATTTCCATATAGACTATTTTGTTCTGTATAGAGAGAAAGAGGGGAGATATTAGCTGTCTATAGCAGTGGTGTTACAGCCACTGCAGAGTTTGGAAGAGAGTTTACTGACTGCTCATGAAAACCACCACAGAGCTCATCCAAAGCAATCTTGTTTAACTTCCACTTGAGCCCTTCTAGGTAGACATCCTCAATTTCCATATAGACTATTTTGTTCTGTATAGAGAGAAAGAGGGGAGATATTAGCTGTCTATAGCAGTGGTGTTACAGCCACTGCAGAGTTTGGAAGAGAGTTTACTGACTGCTCATGAAAACCACTACAGAGCTCATCCAAAGCAATCTTGTTTAACTTCCACTTGAGCCCTTCTAGGTAGGGAGCCTTGGAAGTTTATGAAGGGTATGACCACACCCCTCTCCACTGCATTTCATTTTGTCATTCCATTTTTATGCCTGTAGTATCTCTTCCTACTCATAAGTAGGATACCTAAGTTCAGTGTATTTCTAGAGCTTTCCATAATCTTTGGCTCACATCCTGCTCCCAAGGTCCATCAGGAAAAGGACTCTGAACCCTGGAAAGAGGTGTTGTTTTCCCTGCAGATACAAATTAAAGTATGATAACAATTCCTATACAAGCTGGATTTTCATTTACGCAACAGTTGGTAGAATTCACTAGCTTCACCTCTGTACCTAGGACAGTTACTTTCATTCTTCAATTACTTTGTTGTTCTCAAAGGGTGAACCCTAGGATGACTAAAATGATGAGGCTGAAACCAGGCACCAGTGGCTCACACCTGAAATCCTAGTTACTCAGGAGGCTGAGATCCTCAGAGCACAGTTCGAAGCCAGCCAGGATAGAAAGGTCCCTGAGACTCTTGTCCCCAATTATCCACCAAAAAGTTGGAAGTGAAACTGTGGCTCAAGTAGTAGAGAACTAGCCTTGTGCACAAAAGCTCAGGGACAGACAGACCATCCCACGACAGGCACAAAAAAGGAAAAAAGATGAGGCAAATCCTGTGTGTGATCCTTGGTCATGACTGTGGGAAGGTGACCCTCCCAGGATTTATCCTGGGGTTCTAACTAGGGCCAAAACAGAGGACATTGAGCAAAGTCAGGACTACAACACAACCTTGTAATTCTGTGGTTAAAAACAAACAAACAAACAAAAACACCATAGTTACCAACTGAAGTTGACTTTGGTTGTTTGTTTTCTCCCCATCTAAGTTTTCCTTCATACAAAAAAGAATTTTCTGAGTTTTCAAAAAGGGAGGAAGCCTAAAATTAATAAATGCATAAGGGCTACTGTAATAAATAATAAGAGTACCAGCCTTCCTGATTGAGTCCAGATCAATCATTGTTTCTTGGCTTAATTGCATGCAATGGCTCAGCATCAAACTTTGCCACATGTCAGCTAATGTTGCGTGACAACAAGCGAGGCTGGGCATTAATTCGAAAGGTGTTTGTCACACCCAGAAATACACGGCTGTCTACTGAGTGCTCCTCGATGCAATAAACCAGCTGAAGTTTGTCTCAGCCCTTATGACTCATAGGCTCTGCCTTGCATTCATTGTTTTTTTCTGGATCTTAATGTAATGTTTACGTATTACTAACACCCCTCTCCCCATGACTGGCAGTCAAAAGCGGGGGGGGGGGGGGGGGGGGGGCGGGGGGGGGGAAGGGAGACAACTTCTTGAGGAGGTAAGGTGCCTTGACATAAAGTTATCTCCAAACCCAACACGTGAATGCTTTATAGACAACATCTCCAGACAGAACACAGAGTCCCCAGTTACAATCACATTTCAGATAAGCAAGAAATGATTTTACTGTTCCATAGACACATTTCCCCTATGATACTTAGAATACCTATGCTGGAAAATTCTTTGCTGACCAGAAATTCAAATGTAATGGGGGTATTCTGTATTTGCATTTGCATATTCTAAAGCCGGTATCCCTTATCGTGAGATTGCTTCTTAATTCTCTACTTGAGAATTTTTAGTGTTCTCTATAATTCTAAGAATCCTAAATTTCCTGATGCAGGCTGAATACCGTTTGGGAGCTTTCCTTGGGAAACTTGAAAAAGAGGGGTGAGCAGGGAACAAAAAGACTACTGGCATTCTGATTAGGACTCCAGCCAGGAGGGAGGGAGAGTAGAAACTTGGTGAGACTTACTGTGGCATTCACTCTCTAATTCATGCAGTACATAGTCAACACCCTTGAGAGGTAATGTGCTGTGTGGGAAGAAGGTAGACAGGGCTGTCACTGCAGATAGGAGTCTAGTTTAGTGTTGGGAAGATCAAAGTCTTGGTTTCCTCACCTGAATACTAGCATGGGACTGGATGATCTTTAAGACTCTTTCCAGCACCAGTAATAATACTATGAAATTTCCTGAATTTATCTGCACCTTCATTTTCACTGCTAGATGTTTTTCCCCCTTTTAGTCAGAGAATCTAATCAGGAGTTAATGACAGGCTTGGGAAGTTTAAGGGCTGGAGTCACAAGTCCCCGGGACAAAAGTTCCTAAGATGAAGATGTGGAAGAGAAAGAGATCAGGTCAGATGAACCTTGTGTTAAAATTTTAAAGGTCCATCGGGTACCAGTGGTTCACGCCTGTAATCCTAGCTACTCAGGAGGCTGAGATCTGAGGATCATGGTTCAAAGCCAGCCCAGGAAGGAAAGTCCCTGAGACTCTTATCTCCAATGAACCACCAGAAAACCGGAAGTAGTGCTGTGGCTCAAGTGGTAAAGCGCTCACCGTGAGCTGAAGAGCTGAGAGACAGCATAGGCCCAGAGTTCAGACCCACGATCAACCAAAAAAAATTTTTTAAAGGTCCATATTTGCTTACATCCAGATACATTGTGGCTATGATTCTCAGTGGGGGGGGGGGGGTGGGCAGAGCACTGGAATTCTCAGCCCTTTACTGAGGACATCAGATGTCTTAGGATGAAACTTCAGCATGGCCACTCTGGGAGAGAGGAAAGAGACCAGGAAGTACATGGAAGATGTTAAGGGGGGAATGAGCAGTTAAGGTAGACACCAGGCAGGAAGGAAGGAGAGAGTATGCATAAAATGAATAGTATTGGAAGGTGCTTTCATTGTGAAGTCTGGTGACTTGGACAAGAAGTGAAGAAACGGAATTTGTGGGCACATTTCCAACTGGAGACCCTTCACCAACTTCCAGTTGAGCTACTTTAGACTTTGTAGCTGAGATCAAGGATCTCTTAAGGAGAATATGAGAGAAAATTCTAGAACTTCTATTGCAACCCTCCACTCTTCCTTAATTTCCAGTTTAGCTTAGTAAAACAATGTACATTCACAAAAGATACACACATGTGTTGGGGTACATTGAGTTCAAACGTTTTTCAGGCAGAAACAGGATCAAAATCATCTGGAGACCAATGGCCCTGGTAAGAACATCACATTATAACAGCAGAATTCTTCTTCATCTTCATCCCTGATAATACTTCTCTATTTTCCCCAGAAGGAAATTATCCTGACCTTCCCCCAAATCTAAGATTTTAGCAAAGTCCATGTTCAAGGTAGACATTTAGAGAATGCCAAGAATTAGAGAAAAGAAAACTAACTTAATAATGACAGTCCAGGGCTGGGAATGTGGCTCAGTGGTAGAGTGCTTGCCTTGCATGCACGAAGCCCTGGGTTCGATTCCTTAGTACCTCATACACAGAAAAAACTGGAAGTGGCATGCTGTGGCTCAAGTGGTAGAGCTCTAACCTTGAGCAAAAGAAGTTCAGGGACAGTGCCCAGGCCCTGAGTTCAAGCCCCAGCACTGGCAATATATATATAGAGAGAGGGGGGGGCTGCCCATACTTATTTTAAAAAATAAAGAATCCTCTCACTTTTAAAATGGTGGAATTATTTTCAGCTTTTTTTTTTTTTTAACTCTGTAGGGTTCTGAAATGCCACCCACCCCTACAGCCAACCTGAAATCAGACAAAAGTAACATCACATCCCAGGAGCCCCAAGTGACAGCCAAGAGTCCTAAAGGCTGTAATGCCCCGGGTCACGGGCCATCTGTGACAAGCAGTGACACACCAAAGGAAGGTGGCAAGGAGAAGCCGGGACCCGGTTCGCTGCCTCTGGGAAAGCTATTTTGGAAAAAGGTTAGTCTGATGTGTGTGTCAAGGTTTGCAAAGTGCCCCGGCGAGAAGGACTTGCAAAATCCGTTCTGATGGCTACACTCAACAATGCCTCCAGGTTTTCCTTCTTCCTTCTTCTCTGTGACTCAACTTCTCAAGTTTCTGATATACTGATGGAGAAATGCCTATCATATTATACAGACAGGTGTTTCATGGTCCAAAAAGGAAATGGACAAGTAGGGTTTTTCACTCTGCCTGGTGGGCGATTGTGACAAGTTCTGGTATCATTGTCCTGAAACTCTTGGTGAGTGTGGGTTCTCTCTAGCTTCCTGTGAGCACCTCACCCTGGCAAGATGAATCCAGGGAGCTGGGGGAGGGGGGGAGGGGGGGGAGGGGGCTCTGTTTTCTCTTCCCAGCCAGCCAGAATCGGTAATGGTTAGCTATACTTTCTCAATCTTCATGTCATCTGCTCTATTGATCTGTGCTGTCCAGGCTGGGACAGCCGCTAGGCCATTGCCTATACTTCTTCAATGATTAGAATCTGTAAGGTTCAAAGTTTAAGCTGTTCCCAGAAGAAATAATAGCCAGGACCAACATAATTATGGGAATTCACTTATTCAGACTTGCTGTCTCCTATCTTTTCATTCAACTGTGGCTCCTTAGCCAATTATTTCAAACAATCAGTCAGAGAAACTTAAACCAAATCACCTTTATCTTATATTTCTCTCTTACATCCAACAAGAAGGAAGAGCACCGTCATTTTCTTGACACACAGGTTTTCCTGCCAGGTGGTGTGAAGCACCATCTACTGAAAGCCTAGTATAACCAGCTCCTTTGCTTTCCTAGCTTGTGGTGTGGGGTTGGGTTTTTCGTGTGGGTGGTATTGGGATTTGAACTCAGGGATTTGAGCTTGCCAAGCTGGGACTCTGTCACTAAAGCCATGACCCTCATCATGGAAGAGTCAGTATTCTACTAGGAAATATAATAGGGATGTTTGTTTTCGGTTCTATTTAAAAGATTGTGGTGATTTTTTTTTTAATCAGCTTTGTAATCAAGGCACTGGTAGATCATTCTTGTAATCCTTGCTACTCAGGAGGCTGAGATGTGAAGATCATGGTTGAAAGCCAGCCCAGGTAGTAAAGTCCATGAGACTCTTAGCTCCAATTAACCACCAAAAAGCCAGAAGGAGAGCTGTGGCTCAAGTGGTAGAATCTAACCTTGAATGAAAAAGCTAAGAGACAGCACCCAGGCCTTGAGTTCAAGCCCCAGTACTGTCACCAAAAAAAAAAAAGCGCGTTTTTTTATTGACCAAGAACCTATACTTCTTACAGCATGGTACCGATCATAGGACTTGCTATTTGGGGACATGGATACAAGGGACCAGCTTGAAAGACATCTTTATAAATGTCTTCCTGAATGTTTTATAGGGGGTGGGGGTGCAGATCTCAGTAGTAAGATGGATGCGGGGGAAAGTTTACAACTCGGACTCTAAGGGAAGAGTCGCAGGCGGCCCGGGAGCCCCTGGTATCACTCTTATTGAATGTATTACACGTATTAAATGTCAGCATGGTCGGTAACTACCAGCACTTGCCCACCAAATAGCTTGGGCCGCCTGGGAAAGAAGGAGGCGTGAGGATGCGGGGGGCGGAGCTCGGGGCGAGGCGGGGTCGGGACGGGGCAGGGCGAGGGGCGGGGCGAGGGGCGGGGCCCGGGGCGGGGCCCGGGGCGGAGCTCAGCTCACCACAGCGCTGGAGTTCTCGGGTGCCGGACCCCACTTCCCACAGCTCACCACGAGGCGTTCCGGCCGCCCTGACCCCCGGCCTGTGGCACGGTTCTGAGCAGCCTTGACCCTGCACTGCTCCCCAAAGGCCGTGGGAGAATGCCTCTGGATCCGTTGCCGAGCAGAGTCCTTGTTTTTGCCTGGCACCGAGCGACGAGCGGGATTTGCCTCTTTCCTTAGCTACCAGGCGTGGAAGGACAGTGCGGGGGGCGGGTCCTCCGCGGCCGGCCGCCTCCCCGCCTGTGCGCCGCCTCCTTCCTTACGTAACTTACGTACGAACTCACGTGGCTCATGCCTTCGCTGCGCTTCCCGCGTCCGCGTACGCTTCGCTTCCTTTCCGAGCGCCCGCGTGGCCGACTCCACGCGACGACGTGGGAACGAGGTCTGGCGGCAAACCCGGCTCGCCCCCTGCTCTTGTGCAACTGTGTGTGTGTGCGCGCGCGTGCAACGTCTGGACGCTCACGCTTGTCTCTGTCTTTCTTTTAGTCGGTTAAGGAGGAATCAGTGTCCACAGGGGCAGAGGAGAACGTAAGTGACGCTCGACACCACCCCGCGCTCATGGCTGTCGGACCCTGGGCCCGGTCGGCTCGCGGGCTCTGGGGCCTGCCTGTCTCCCGGGTTGTTAATTCACCCGCTGTAGACTCTTTCACCCTTTCCCGTGGTTAGGGACACTGCGGAGAGGGAATTTTTTTTTTAACTCCTATTGGATTGATGCAAAATAAATGCAAAAATCAGAGCTTACGCTTCCACCATTTGGAATCATTTAGAGGCTGAAAGAGTCTACTTCACATGGAATGGCTTTGAACACCCTTGACGGATAATGATGCATCATCTCCCGCTTCGTTCCGCCTTGGATGGGCTTTCATCTTTGTTTCCATGGTGACACACATTCCTCCATACTAACACAGGGCGGTACCCAGGGCAGGTAGTTGCATTAAGAACATCTTGTAGCAATCTAGGCTGGAACTGCTGGTCTCGGCGGGAGAGCTAACTCCATAGAGGGGAACTGCATCTGTCTGGTCTTGATTAAAGGGCCAGATATTACAAATCTTCAGTCTTCTTAAGACATGGCCAATTTTTTTAAATTATACTATATTTATTTCCAAAAAGGTTGGAACTACAGGAGGCACCACATACACACCCACAAAGCGTCTTTTTAAAACATCTTCTAGGAAGATCAGTAGATGGCCTTCATAAATTTCAGGCTCTCTGCCCTGAAATAAGCACAGTCTTTGAGAATTTTACAAATGAAGATAAATGAATTCACAGCTTCTTAGGATAGAAACAGAACACGATCGTTTTGCCAAAGCAAAAGATGTTTGGATCTGTCTGGTGTCTTTTGCTTACTTGCCATGGGTGGCAGGTGTGTTTTTGTTTTTATTTAGTTGCTGGAGTCAAACAGATGTTGAAAATCCAAGTATGTTTCACAACTCTTACCTATGACAGCAAATCAAAACTGAATGGCTGTAGTGTGATTATGGTTAGGAGAAAAATGTAAGATCTATGTGCTGGTTTGTTTACTGTTCCTTTTCCTTTCCTCCTCCTTCTCTTCTTCTTCTTCTTCTTTCCTCTTCCATTCATTGTACCAAAGTTAGCAGCTCAGCAAAGTGCAGGCTTCTCATGATTCTAGAAAGATCTTATGGATTTTCTGGCTATTTTCTTGAGAGTCCAAGGTTCAGTAGCTACCAAGAGGTGGTAACACAGCATGTGACACTCACTCTAAATCTCAACTGGACAATCAAATCCCAGTAGCTATATTACAAGAATACTTTAATGACTGCCTTCTCTGGGGAACATGTGGTTGAGTTTATTTTTAAATCTCTCTTGTCCACAATTTTCATCAGTGCAAAATTCACCTGTATCTTCCAAATCTGGATCAGATGGATTTCAACAAAGTTATCAAAAGAAAATTAAGATTTTTCAAAGCCCATAGAAGTTTAGAGCTTCTCCTAAACCTGAAATTGTTTTACCCATTGATTAATTGAGTATGTGATCTAAGTAATAATAATAACAATATTTCCTTGTCAATAATGTATAAGAACCAAGACATATAGATACTTTTGTGGTATCTCTTATGTGAAGGAAAACTCAACCTGGATAGAAAAGAAAACGGAATATAGTAGTTCTAATCTCTAGCAGGAGAACCTGTTTCAGATAAAGCTTGCTCAGGAACCTACCCCCCAACACACCGGCCTCCCCTTCCCAACCAGGATCACATAACCTAGTCCAGAATGAAGGGGAGGTTTGTCCAGTAGCAACCTGTGTATATTCCCTGGAATTTGTTCTCCTTCCTTGGCACAAATGTGTCCCTGCACTCCAGTACTCAGCCTTTGCCATGTTATGTTACAACAACAAGCAAGCCCTAACTTCTGGTAGCTTGTAACAACCAAGATTTCTTTTTCTGTCCCACTCTTGCCATAGGTCCGCTCTAGGTTGGCTGTGGCTGCTTCCTGTGGCCTCCTTTTGCTGATACACAGCATGAAGATGTGGTTCTTAGTAGGATGAACACTTCTAGTAGCAGAGAAGATAGCACCCTGGGCAAGGCCATAGCTCCTAATGAGTCTGTGTAGCTGTGGTCACAGAGACTCATGTTCTGTCATTACAGCAGGCCTCCCCATACATCTCAAAGGAAGGGAGAGGGAATACATGCAAAAATAATACCTTGTGCCAACTGCTTCCAGCCCTAAGCCATCATACCCAAGGAGTTTGCATGTTGGTTGGCTAAGATTGTCCAGCCAGCTTCATCCAATCGCATAGTGTTAAAGGAAGGGATGGCTCTTGCCCCAGAACAAAATCTGAGAACTAGAAACTAATGAGGGAAATAGGAAAAACGATGTCTCAATCTTTGTAATCTACTAGTGACATTATGAACCGAAACAAAGAGTAATCTTATAAGATTCTCAAGATGTGGAGAGGTGGCTCAAGTAGTAGAGTGACAGCCTAGAATGAAAATCTGAGAAAGAGCATGAGGCCCTGAGTTCAAACCCTAATGCTGGCACAAAATAGTAATAGTAGTAGTTATAATAATAATAATAGTTTTAAAACTTCAGATAGGTACTGATGGCTCATGCCTGTAATCCTAGCTACTCAAGAGACTAAGATCTAAGGATCAAAAGTTCAAAGCCAGTCCAGAAAAGTTTTATCTCCAATTAACCAGCAAAAAGCTGGAAATGGGGGCTGGGAAGGTAGCTCAGCGGTAGAGTGCATGCTTTGCAAGCATGAGGCCCTGGGTTCGATTCCTCAGCACCACATAAACAAAAAGGCGGAAGTGGCGCTGTGGCTCCAGTGGTAGATCACTAGCCTTGAGCTGAAGAGCTGACGGACAGCGCCCAGACCCAGAGTTCAGGCCCCATGACTGGCAAAAAAAAAAAGCTGGAAATGGAAGTGTATAGCACAAGTTGTAGTGGTACCAGCCTTGAGCGAAACAACTGAGCAAGAGCTCAAGGCCCTAAGTTCAATAGTTTAATTCTTCATATTCACACACACACACACACACACTTCTAAAAAAAGGCTTTAAATGACAGTATTATTATGTTATAGGTGAAGTTTAAATAGGGGAAGTCTTTTGGGCTAGTCATTTTCCAAAGTCCCAGTTCTAGTGACAAGTGCATAAATGAAATTTTGAAAGCAAGCAGATTGGGACATGTGAGGCTTTAAGCCAAACCCTGCACCAAGATGTACACTACGTGCATTGAGCACACCTGCCTTGTTTAAGCACAGGGTACCATATCCCATCCTGAAGTTAAACTTCATTCTGAACTGTAGTACAAAAAGTAAAGGAAATAAAAATAGAGCAAAAATCTGATTTTCATTATATCCATCAAACCCAAAATTAAAATGTGCAGATGTAGCCACGTACTCTAACTAGGAAAAGACTCTTTCCAAAGCTGTAGCCTGGAAGGAAATCATACAGTGTAGCCAAATAAAAAATTGAATTCTTATGTCTGAATGTGCCAATCAGATTGTCCTGGGGCTCCATGCTGGGTGTTGGGATTTTCCTTGTCTACTGAAAGTCAGCTTCTTGGCCTGTCTTTAAAGGAAATAGAAGTCTCTCCAGACCCCTGTATTTTGCCTATTGAAATAATTGTGTTTCAGAGAATGAACTCATGTCCTTTTATAAGTTGACATCTCCCCACATTTGGAATGAGGAACCCATGGAATCCTTGTCATTCAAATAAGGATGGTTTACAAAGTTGCAGTGATTTGATCTGATCCTTTATGAGGAGGGGAATTTTTCCTCCAGGTACACACAAAATTAATTATGATATCCTAACTCCTCAAGAGGCTGAGATCTGAGGATCATAGTTCAAAGCCAGACCAGGCAGGAAGGTCTATGAGACTCTTAGCTCCAATTAAGCACCAAAAAGCCAGAGGTGAGGCTGTGGCTCAAGTGATAGAGTGCTAGCCTTGAGCAAAAAAACAAATAAAATAAAATAGAAGCTCAGAGACAGCACCCGGGCCCTGAGTTCAAGCCCCTGGTCCAGCACCAAAAAAAGAAAGAATCATAATGTCTAAACACAGAACCATTAAAATCTGGGGTCTATAAATCAAACTCTGTGCATTACTTCCCATCTTTCATCCTTTGACCCTTGATCAGAAGCAAGGTCGGCAACTACCTTCCCCAAAGTATTTGATAGGGATTTGTCTAGACCAGTCATCCTAATTTTTTCACCACTAGTTAATCTAGGGGTAAGGATATGGCTTAGTTTCAGCCAATGAAAATTATATATCCTGAAATAAAGTATCAGAACTCAGAAGTTCACTTATAGCAAATTCTTTACTATGACCACCACCACCCCAAAAAAAAAAACCAAAATCCTTCCATCTCAGGACATTGAATTGAGGATGTGATGCCTGGAATTGTAACTGCTGTTTTATGACCAGGAGGTAACAGCAGGGCGAAAATCCAGTATACTAAGCGTAGCAAAACCAAAGGACCTAAAGCACCAAAGTTCTTAAAGACACTGTAGAACCCATGAAAAAAAACAACAACAACAACCAGAAGACCCTACTTTCAAACTCTTTGTTCCACATCTTCCTGGCTAGTCTACTATTCAGTTGCCAGCAGAAAAGACCATACTCCTTGAAATGCCTATAATCCCTTGAACATGACTTGGGCCAACTCCTTCAACCATTTACGCTTTTCTTTGTAAAATATAGACTGTTTCTTGAGGTTCTATATAACCAACGCCTACACTGGAAGATATTGTAAGAGGGAGTTATTAGCATAATCATCTCTAAATAATGGATGTATGGATGGGTGACTCTGGATAATTCATGCTTAAGGAGTAAATAGGCCTAACATTAACACAAGTAACAACCACTACCATTAATTGAATGTTTATTATGTGCCTGGCAGAGACCAAGGGACTCGATGTGTATGGCTGGGTCAGTCCTCAGAACCGTTCTAGGGTATATAGTGTGCCACTGAGCAGGGGGGAGAAGACAGCATGACCTCAGACAAGGCCTGCAAAGGAGAAAGGCAAGGTTTAGGTCCAGGCAGCTTGCTCCAGAGCCTGAGGACCTCAACAGCCAATATCATACAGCCTGCACCCCTGTCTGTGCCCTGTGGCTTGTGCCCTGGCCCTGTGCCTAAGACTTACTTTCTAGAGTGCATCCATATCCAACCACCAGTCCAGCTCATCCTGGCTTCCTAGAGTCAGGCTGGGGCCCCAGGAGCTAATTCACATGCACATTTGGCTAATCCAGTGGTTTTCTTTCTTTCTTTCTTTCTTTTTATTGTCATGGCCTACCACAACTTGAGATCCATTCACAACCATCCTTACTGTCCTTTTTTCTCACCTAGCGAGCCATTGCTTATTAACACACTAGAAGGGAAATAGAAGTCACAACATGTCTTAAGAAGTACTGGAATGTGCTCCTGTGGTTTTATTGCTAAGCTTTGGGGTGTTCTGCCTGCTAACCTGGTGTCGGGTACTTCTCCATGTTTGCTGATAATAGGAGATGACAAACCCAGGTGCTGGTGGCTCACACCTGTAATCCTAGCTACTCAGGAGGCTGAGATCTGAGGATCATGGTTCAAAGCCAGCCCAGGCAGGAAAGTCCATGAGACTCTTATCTCTACCAGAAAACCGAAAGTGGCGCTGTGGCTCATGTGGTAGAGCACGCGCCTTGAGCTGAAGAGCTGAGGGACAGCACCCAGGCCCAGAGTTCAAGTCAGCCTTCTTCCAGGTTCTCTTTGTAGATCTGAGCTGACAGGGAGTGAGAAGGAGCCACTGACATGTTGGTAGCTCCTGTTTTAAGCGACGGGTGAGAAGGTGCAGGTCTCACGGAGGAGATCCAGTCTGGGAAAGCTAGTGGCCTTTGCAATGTCCTCCTGCAAAGCCGCAGTCTCAGAAGAGGTGTGAGGGGGCCAGGTGTCGTTGCCTCTATGGTAGCCCCAAGAGTTGGGATTGCTGGAGTGAAGTTCCACACACACACAAAAGGGACCTCCTGGCAATGCCTTGTGCCCCAGGGGGCCTTCTATCTCCAGGGAAGTCCACCCGTCCGTCACCCAGCTGCTGGCTGTTTGGGATCACATCCCGCACTTGAAGAGGGTCACTTCTAGAAGGTCTGACTAGGAAGAACAGCCGCTCCATCATGAGACCCTGTAGAAAACACGTGTTGTGGGGGAGACACCTGCCCTGGTTTGGCTTTCTGTTTCACTTTCTCCTTACCTGGCAAAACAACTCAGGTGGTGTGTGACTCAGCAGTAGAGACTGTAAGGTGTGAGAAAGTAGAGTGCACCTTGCAGACAGTGGACCTCACTGAAGGCGAGGCTGCACCTGCACCCACACAAGCGAAGCTCCAAGAAGAAGAGAGCCAACCACGGAGGAGCTCCCTGATGGCATTTCTCAGACAAATGGTAAGTGCCCGCCTGCACGGGATTGAAGGTGACACTTGGGGCACAGAAACAAACATGAATGGTACACATGCAGCTCCATCATAGAGGATCATAGAGGAAGTGTGCTGCTAATACTCTAACCCCTCTTTAACTCCACCCAGTTCCCTTTTTAACTAAGGATGAGGTGGTCAAGGGTCCTAGGTGTCCTAGAAGTGAATGGTACTGCCTGCCTTTCATGTTGTGTGTGTTTAAAGTTTCCTTCTGTGGGTGGCAAATGATACTGCATTTCTCATTAGGGTGATAATATTGAGTTCCCTTTGGTTCAAATATTTTTATTTACCTAAAGAACATAAGGCAGGCCAGGTGCCAGTGGCTCACACCTGTAAACCTAGCACTCAGGAGGCTGAGATCTGAGGATAGCCATTGAAAGCCAGCCTGGGCAGGAAAGGCCATGAGACTCTTTTCTCCAGTTAACTACCAGAAAACTGGAGTTGTGCTGTGACTCAAAGTGGTAGAGTGCCAGCCTTGAGTAAAAGAGCTCAGGGACAGCAACCAAGCCTGAGTTCAAGTCCTGCAACTGACACAAAACAAACAAAAGGACACATGGTATTTTTAAGGATTGTGTTAAAAGTCCAAATTATGTAGGTATGGTGGTGTACACCTGTAATCTCAGGCTTAGAGATAGGAAAATCGTAAGATTTGAGACCAATTCTGGGACACACAGTGACACCCTTTCTCGAGAAATGACTGAGCCAGTGGCTCAGGCATGTAATTCTAGCTACTCAGGAGGCTGAGATCTGAGGATCATGGTTCAAAGCCAACCCAGGCAGGAAAGTCCATGAGACTCTTATCTCTGCTGGGCCCTTCTGTCTCCTGACTGTAATCCCAGCTACTCTGAAAGCTGAGATCTAGGGATCATAGTTCGAAGCCAACCAGAACAGATAAATTCAAGAGACTCTTACCTCTAGTAAACCAGAAAAAAAAAGCTAGAATTGGAGGTGTGGCTCAAGAGATAAAGCACACACCTTGAGTGGAAAAGCCAAGTGAATAAGAATTTAAGACCCTGAGTTCAAACCCCAGTACTGGTATCAAAACAAAAAATAAACAACAACAAAAGTATACACGCATTATATGACTTCAACAGCCAGGAACTTCTATAATACAATGAAACAAAACCTAAAATCAGCAGGTTAACCAAACCTCAAGTGAAAGGTCATTGATTTAATTCTCTTTTAATGAAAAACACAAACTTAATTATAATGTGTCTTTATTTTCAGTATCTGGGAGTTTAATCCTTAGAGAAAGAAAATTCTCCAGTTTCATAAGCTCAGACCCGTAAAGAGTTCTTTCTAGTCCACAAACAAAATGAAACACAGTAAACCCCTTGCCAGCGGGGGCTGAAGTGTATTAGAAATAATTCTGTCAGAGATTGTTGGCAGGGCTCATTTCCTTTTTTGTGTTGGTTTCTCGCAGAGTCAAAGGTATAAAGTAGGTCAGAGGTACTATGTATGGCTGGGCTATCTCTATTGCTGGCCACTAGCTCTACAATTTAGCACCAAGATCACCATTTTCAGTATCTAAGCCAATTTTTATGCCAGGACAAGAACACACATTGACCAGGTTCTGGCAACTCATCTGAATGATAAATGAGATCACCAATATTTCACCAAAATACCATGAGCAATCCCTTTTCTGGATGCTGGCTAGTTAAGAAATACAGAAAAAAAAAGAAAATAGAGTAACAGTCCCTTCCAATCAACTTGACTTAAAAGAGAGGAAAACAAAAGAAACTGAATAATCCAGAACTTTCTAACCCGCGCCTTGCATCCATCCCCAATAAACTCTCAAGTTAGAATGAGGCTCTACGTAACCTCAGTTTACTCCTAGTGGTGTCTATTAGATGCACTTTTCCAGCAGCCACAGCTAGAAAAGTCTTAGTGTTTGGGTGAGAGAGGATTGGATATGAAAATCCTTTGGGATTGGCTCTCCATAGAATATGGGCAGAAGGAAGAGAGGACACTGTCTTCCTCAGCAGCCCTCGGTGGAGAAGAACAACAGGTTTATCATGTTCACTGCTCGTACTACCTCAGAAGTTGAATATTATTCTTTCCTTTTAACTCTCTCTCTTTTTTTTTTTTTTGTCTGTCATGGGGCCTGAATTCTGGGCCTGGGTGCTGTCCCTCAGCTCTTCAGCGCAAGGCTAGCGCTCTACCACTAAAGCCACAGCACCACTTCTGGCTATTTCTGCTTATGTGGTGCTGAGAAATCGAACCCAGGGCCTCATGCATTCGAGCGAGGCACTCACTCTACCACTGAGCCACCTTCCCAGCCCCTCCTTTTAACTCTCAAACACTGCTCCAAAGCTCCATGGCTGCTGGGCTTTTCACTTAGAACTCCAGCCATCCTGATTGTCCTTTTTCTCTTTTGTGATTAAGTTGTGGGGTTTGCAGTCCACAAATATTCCCACTGCTCCCTGCAGTTAGGCCAGGCCAGCTCATTCCTTGGCTGGCTCTGTCCCTGTGGATGTGTGAGTTTGTAACCCCGATATAAAACCGCTACACTGTTTACAAGTTCTTTGGCAGGTATTGCTCATTCAGAGTAACCTTTATTCCACTGGTGGACATTTAGATTGTTCTAAGCATTTTTCCAATTCTTCTTTCATTCATTTACTTTGTTCAGTGAAGAATTAGCCAGTGCTCACTTACATTCTGGACAGTAGAGGATCAGCAGCAATCTTGCATTGTGAGGACTTTCCATCCTCATGGAGAATACACTCCGTGGTGGGGAGGGGATCCGACTCCATGCCCAGACCCAGTGGGTCCCAGACCTCTCACGCATGGCTTCTCCCTCTCTTGAAGGCCTTTAGCCACTCACTTTTAGGCACATGTGTTAAGATACCCTACTCCTGGAAGTCAGCTCCAGGGATTATTTTTCAGGAAGTAACTTTTGGCAACATATTCATGGCTTCCAAATTGATTTAAAGTCTTGGATTTATGCAGCGGGGGAGAAAGCCTCCTTGAAGGGCTTGTAAATAGTGATGTGCCTGCCTGCTGTGAAGCACAGCAGAAATTTGAGGGGCTTCCTTGGAGCCAAATAAGTGAATGTTTCAAATTCGTTTTAAATAGTATTGGAAAAATACGATTTAGCTAGGCACAGGTGGCTCACACCTGTAATCCAAGCTACTCAGGAGGCTGAGATCTGAGGATAGAGGTTTGAAGTTAGCCCAGGTAGGAAGGTCTGTGAGACTCTTATCTTCAATAAACTACTCAGAAAAAGCTGGAAGTGGTGCTGTGGCTCGATTAGTAGAGGATTAGCCTTGAGTACAAAGAGGCTCAGGGACAGCACCCAGGCCCAGAGTTCAAGACCTAGGACTGGCAAAAAAGAAAAAAAATACATTATTTAAAGCAAATGATTGATTTAACCTAGGCAGGATAACATACTCCCTTAATCCTAGCATTTAGGTGGCTGAGGTAGGAAGATCATGAGTTCTAGGTCAGCCTGGGCTATGCAGTGAGACCTCTGAGAGAGAGAGGGAGAGGAAGAGAGAGAGAGAGAAAGAGAAAGGGAAGGAGGGAGGGAGCAAAGGAAGGAGGAAAAACTAGAAAGGAAGACAGGAAGGAGGGAGGGCGAAGGAGGGAATGAGTCAATAGAAAACCGAATTGCAAACACTGTTCTGCATGGTTTCTCCAGTCACCATATTATTGGTTTTCTACCTTCAACCCTCTTGTCACTCCTGTTTCTTTCACATATTTTAATATTCCATGGCAGAATGACTCTCAGTTGAATAATTTTATTTCAAACCAAATACATTGCCTAAATCCTTACTAAAGAAACAATTTTCTTTCCAGAAATCAACTTCTCATAAAAATAAAAATAGAAAAAATAGCATCTTGTATTTGAGTTAAGAGAAAACAAAATCCTGTAAGACCTAACATCATATCACTCACATGTAGAAGCACCACTTCACAGAAATCCTACAGACCCCCTGTGCTCTGGAGTAATTACAAGAAGCATCTAAGATATCAGCATTTGCTAAATAACAAAGCACCCTTATGCATATTAATTCAGCTGCACACCAGGAAAGTAGATATCCAATGTGCTAGTTTGTCTTTATAAAGTAAATGACCAGGATGCTGAATTCATGCACCCACCAACGAAGTAAGCAGACTCAGAACCAAACTGGTGGAAGGTAGAGCTGTGTAGGTTTGGGAGTTAGCATCTGTACATATAACAACACCTCTCCCCTCTCCGTGGCATTGCGTGTTATTTTTTTTTAACTCTTCCTGACAGCTCTTTCCATGGACCATTAGTTTTATAGGAAAACCTTGGCTGGAGTAATATCCTCAGGCTTAGAGAGAGACTGTGAACTTTAATATTGGACCAATTAAAGGCTTAAATCAAGAGATAGCCAAGAAATGAGGTTCTTGCTGATTACACGCAATCTAATAGGTATAATCAAAACTGTTCAGAATTACTATCTGGGGAGAACAGATGTAGGGAGGAGTCTCCCTCATCCCAGTCTTTCCCTGCATATTAATGTACTGGTGATGATCTGCTCTTTAAAGGAAGAGTTTCTGAGGAAGTATTTATCTGGGCAATGTCTGCCTTCCTCCCACGCTTCGGGGCATCGCCATCATGTGATGTCAGTACCAACGACAACAGCAATATCACCGATTGTCGGTGATGTACACTCAGCGGGGCAGGGGCCTGTGCTGAGCGGGTCCCGTGTGCCCTGAGTGTGGAAACCTTTTGCAGCCAGGACTGGGGGACTCCCTTGGGTCTGCGAACGCCTACCTTCCCAGCCCTGAGATAGGAGTGAAAGCTGTCCGTTCTGTTTTGTCAACCTCTCAGGCTCCCCCTTTACCCAGATGGTACGGCGTGCGTGCGCGCACACACACACACACACACACACACACACACCCCTCAGCCCCCTGCCGCTGACAGGATGTGGAGGTGGAGTGATGAGAAGGAGGCTCCATATCCAGATCCCTATCTCTCAGGAAGGTTATTATCTGGTGCTAATGGAGATTAAACTCAGGACCTTGTGCTTAAAAGGCAGGTGCTCTACCACTTGAACCATGTTCCCGGCTTCTTTTTCCCTTGATTATTTTCGAAAAGGCCATCTATCTATTTGCAGTATGGTCTTTCTTATGCTCAGGCTGGCTTGGATGTTGCTCTTCCCAGATGTGTGTTTATCTGTGTCACTGGGGTGGACAGGCAGATACAATTGCACCCAGCCATTGGTTGAGATGGAGTCTTATGGAGCTTGATACCTGGGCTGGCCTCAAATTGTGATCCTCAACCTGTACCTCCCAAACAGGAGGAATACAGGTGTGAGCCACTGCACCTACCGTGGTCTTCGAGTTTCCTTGATCCCGAATCTCTAGAACAAATGACTAAGATCGTCCATTTCAGAGTTGCCCAGCACTCCTGGCACTCACCATGCCTGTGATCGCTGAGAGGTCACCGTGTGCTTGTTATTGTAGTCAGTGAGAGGGGACGGAGGGACCACCCGCTCTGGAGAACCGGATGGGAAAGACTCTGGCTGCCACGTAAGTGAGCTTGAACTCCGTGGTGGCGGGTGTAGCTGCCGTACCCTCTCTCTCTCTCTGCAGCCTCGTTTCCCATGTGATTCTGAGCCACAGCCAACTGGTGCCCCAGCCCCAGACTCAGCAGCAGGCGCTGGGCTGAGCTCTGCAGACGCAGCAAGGAGTAGCTGCAGGTCCTCGGTCACTTCGCACTGATCTCCCCTTCCTCCCCTGAGAGCCCTTCCAAGCCCACCAGTCATTGTTAGGTCTTCTCCATTCTTGCTGGCACTGATCACAGATCATAACCATTCACCACCTGTGAGCTGCCTGTCTCCTCTGCCCGTTCCCAACCCCATCCAGAACTCAAGCAGCCAGCAGGTTTCCATTCTAGACTGAATCCACAGACAAGGAGACCAGAGAATCATTCATTATTATCTGAAAACATCAGGTTCTAAGCCAGTAAAAAGGAAATACCAGCCTGGGGGGAATGGGCCTTCCTGTGGTAAATGGACATTGTCCATCAAAATCCCCTCTGGCAGATAGCCAATGAGAGCCAGAGTTTCCTGTGTGTCCCACCCCCAGCCTACACAATGGGGAAGGAATGCGTGGTGGGAGTATGTGGAGGGCATCTTGCTGGCCACCATCCAATCAACACGTGCCAAAGGAGACCTGGTGCTGGGGAATAATACCGGGGAGGAACAGGGCTCGCCCTCCAGTCCAGGAGAGCGAGAGAGGCAGGCACACTGGCGAGCAGAGACATCCCTGGGGAAATAACCACGCGTGTAAGCGAAGGACAGCAAGCCAGGCCCCCGGGGCTCACGCCTGACATCCTAGCTTTCAGGAGGCTGAGATTGGAGGATTGTGATTTGAAGCCAGCCCAGGCATCAGTCCATGAGACTCTTATCTCCAATTAATCAGCAAAAAGCCAGAAGTTGAAATGAGTCAAGTGATAGAGCACTAGCCTTGAGTAGAAAAGCTCAGGGACAGTGCTCAGGCCTTGAGTCCAAGCCCCAGAACTGGTGTGCATGCATGAACACACACACACACACACACATAGAAGAAAAAGAGCAGCTGTGTGTCCCATGAGATGGGTCAGCCTTCCAGCCTTCTTTAGACCACAGAAGCAGGTGATACTTTGAGACCTGGCCCACAGCCCTGACAGCAGACAGAAGGGAAATTGACATCTACTTGGAAGCCTTTTCCTGGAAGGAAAGGCGGAGGCCATGAGCTGAGAAGTAAGGTAGAGAGGAAGGGCTAGAGATAAGCCCGAGGGACCCGGGGCCTCATTGTGTCACCCTAAGCATCTGCCCATGGCACTCAGAATCCCAAAGAGAGGAATGGCCACCATGTTCCCAGGCCCACCAGCTCTGCCACTCCTTGGGGCTTCTCGGGATGCAGAACTGCCAGTTCCTTCTCCTGGATCTTCTGCACTCCAGGACAAAGCAAAGGAGCCTGGCACAGCCCAGACACAGGCCAAACAGGCCTTTCATCCCCAGCTAACTTAACCCTTTCCCCGCCATGAGCGTCCCGTCTTTTGTTACTTCCACACAGACAAGTCACCGAAAAGACCAGACAGTTTATTCCAGGTCATGCAGCCAGAGTGGGTGGTGCTAAATCCACACCAGGTCCCTGACTCCAGATCCTTAGCTCTGTACATGTGTGTGTGTGTCTGTCTGTCGGTCTGTCTGTCTGTGTCGTCTGTGTCTGTGTGTGCATGCACTGCCATTTGAACTCAGTGTCTTGAGTGCTGTCCCTTGGATTTTTTTGCTCAAGGCTAGCAATCTATTACTTGAGTGTGTGTGTGAGTTAATTAGAGATGAAGAGTTTCACAGACTTTTCTACTTGGCTTCAGATCTCAGCCTCCTTGAGTAGCTGGGATGAGCCACCAACACCTGGCCACATCCTGAGTGTTTAGCCACTTGCTAAACAGTCTACCCAACTAAAATGGCACAGGAGGTCGAATGGTCACTGGCTCCTGGCCTGTCTAAGGACTCCTGGTGCAGTTGCTGTTCTCTGGGGCCATCTCCGTCTCTGAGCTGGCTGTGGCTCTGGGGAATTTGCATCTAGGCACTGGCAGCTTGGTGGTAGCAGGATGCAGTGTGCATGCAGGCTACAGATAGCTTCCTGGGAACACTGGCTGCTGTTGCTTATAATTGTCAATGTGAAAAAAATCCTCTTGAAGCTGGCATAGGCAGGACAATGCTTCAGGAATAGCTAGATCCAGGAGTAACGCATGACATGTTAGCCCCTGGTTTCTTTCTTTCTTCCTCCCCTCTACCCCCTTTCCTCTTTCCCTCCCCCTCCCCTCTCCTCAGCTTTCTTACATTGGCTTCCTCTCAAGGCCTATTTTCCTGGAATGACTTCAGTTCTGGGCACCCCACGCTTCTATTTTCATCATTTCAATTCTAATGGAAAATGACAAGGCCCCTCTGGGTTACTTTAGCAAAGCTTCTGTCTGGCTTTGACTACCTTGAACCAATCATAGTTCGCCAATGCGGTGCGATGCTCCGATTGGCCAGGCTAGAGTCACGTGGTCTTGTCCAGGGGCAGGATTCATTTCCCTAGGCCACGCAGAATAGACAGGGGGAGAAGAGTAACTTCTCAGATAAATCCAAAGTCTACCAAAAAAGAGAACGGAATGCTTGCTGGGGATGCACAAAATTAAGTACTGCATCCTCAGAGAAATCAGTGTGTCGCCCGCTGTGTGCCACCTTGCGCAGCTTTCTTGTTTTTCACTTCACCTAAAACTCCTGGGAGTGTGAGCATCCCTGCTGTAAGATCCATTCCCCTGTGGAGAACTGGGTCTCGGCCACTGAAAAAGGGCTCTGTTTGAACTTGCTGCAGACTTCCAACTCCACAGAGAAGGCCACCACGCCCCCCGAGCCGGAGCCCACGGGGACAGCCCAGCAGGGCAAAGAGGGGTCCTCGAAGGAGAAGAAGCCAGCGCCCGAGGGGAGCAAGCCGAAGAGCGGCAAACAGGAGGCCAGAGAGCCCGCCCAGTGTGCCCAGCAGGCCAGGGTGGATTCGAACTCACTGCAGAACGGGGACAAGCCCCAGAAGAGACCTGAGAAGCGGCGGCAGTCACTCGGGGGCTTCCTCAAGGGCTTGGTAGGTGGATTTCCACCCCCCCCCCCCGGATTTTGGGCAATATTTCCACTTCCAAAATGGAGAGGCATGGGGAGCAGAACCATGTGCTGCTTTGAGTTGGGGGGTCCAGGAGGGTCGGTGGTGCCAGACAGGAGGCCGGGGACGCTTTTGTGGGACCAGGTACAGCACCGGCTCAAGTCCAGGGGGTACTGAGCTCGGTGAGTTTGGTGTGTTTGGAGAAGAGAGAGAAGTTGTATGTTGTCCTGCAGGGCCGTGGGGCAGATGTGAAGGACAGGGTTGCCTGGGAAAGCAGCTCATTTTAAATGTCAGCACTCACTTCCACAGCAGCAGAAGAGCATCGCCCTTGACAACTGAAGTGCATGGGTGCAGTTAGACAGCGTGCTCCAGGATGTAAACGTGACTGTAGCGCTGTCACTTGCAGGCTGGGTCACCTTTCTGAGCCTCAAGTCTTTTTCCAAGGAGGGGCTCCTCGGGACCCCCTCACAGGGTCAGCCTGAGAAGAAATGAGGTCCTGAGAATGATGCCCAGCCAGGACATTTTCCTGGGAAGGGTCATTGATGACATGGGCCTAGCCAGCCTCCTCAGAGGGGTGGCAGTATCCTGAGAGGCTGGTGCTGAGTCAGACAACAAATGCTCACACTTCCGTGCAAATGTGAAAGCCAGGAGCCCACTCCACCCCCTGGCTGAAGTTCAGACAGATGAGCAGTGAGCAGGGCCCTGGCTCTCAAGAGCAAACGTGAGCAGAAACAATCTCCCAGGCTGCCCGGGGACCACCACATCCCACCCAAGAGCCACTGCGGCCCCCAAAGCCTGAGCAAGGTTGAGGAGTCCTCAGACACAGCCATGTGGCATGGCGGAGGCCAGCAGAGGAGGGGGTGGCTCACAGAGTCTCCTCAGGGGTGACAGATGTGGGGACGGAGGAAGGAGCAGCCACGGCTCTGAGTGTTCCTGACCACCCCTGTCACCAAGCAGTCCACTGCCCGCAGGTTCTGGTTATCACACTCCACAGGTGTCCTAGACAGGATGAAGGGTCCAACTTGACCACTGGAAATCATTATTATTAATAGTTTTCTGCCGCGGACCGGGTTCTGTCGGGACGACGGAGGACACCTAAGGGAGGAACCTGGAATAGGTGGGGAGATGGCAAACAGACAACTCACACACATTAGGAGTGGATGCTGAGTGCGATTTAATGCAGAGGATAACAAACTTTTATAGCAAAAGTCTCCATGAGAAAGGGCAAAAGGTTACACAATCTTGCTGCAGGGCTTCTTTCTTGGGTGGTCACCTGATAGGCACTTGTTTCCGGCTTATCTCTAAGAAATATAATGGGTTTTGATGTTTTGTCATCAACTAACCATTACCTTATTTCTATAGAGGCCTTAACTGTCCCATAAGATCTTTCCCGTTCTTTCCTCAATAGCAAGGTCACCGAGGCCTACATCTAGCAAGTCTTTTAGTAAATGAAAGAGAGTAACAAGAAGTTCTTTCTCCTAAGTAGTTATCTCAGCAATTGCCATACATTCCTTCTATTCTAGCCGCGCCTACAGCTTCTTGTAAATCTCTTACAAACAATTCCTTCTGCTGAAATGACATCATGAAACCCCCAATATTTACTTATGACTTGTCTACTAGCCTCCATAAGAGGGGTTTTAGGTTAGCACTTAACTCTGGTGAGTTAGTCATATTTTTAAGACACTCATCAGATATTGGAGTCGCCAACACTCTTAAGAAAGAGCTTTGAATAAGGGAACGTTGACAATGAGCAAGTACAAAGAGCAGTAGAAGCAGTAAAAGATTAATAGGCACTCTTATGCAGTGAAGAAAGGCAGAAACACATCTTTTCCCAGGGGTTTTTCCAGCCTTTTCCCAGGACTAGGCCTCTTAGAAGCCCTATTCTCCGAGGTAGACTTCGGTGAAGTCCCAAAACTTGGAGATAGGTTTCTGTAAAGCCCCATTCTCTGAGGTAGACTTCGGTGAAGTCCCAAGACTCACAGATAGGTCTCGAAGCCCCTATCATGGTCTGATAGATGGTCTCCCATGCTAAGCAGACTCTACTGGGGTCGGCGTGGCATTTGCCCCTTTTTTTTTTTTTTTTTTTTTTTTAAATTTTCACCAGTCCTGACTTCGTGTATCACAGTTAACTCAATTTTATACCAGCTGTACTTGTAAGCTCCAATTTTAAGACATACTCATACCATTTGCTACATACTTAAACTTTCTGAGGTTTGTCTTCTTTAAAGACAATTCTTACTTTTCAAATCCTTTCTTATCCAAAGTGGATATCAATTTTTTCCCCAATTCCTTTCCCAAGGCTTTCTTTACTACCTTCTTTACAATCCCTTTTCCAAGGCTTTCTTTACCACCCTCTTTCTTTACAATCCCTGAGCATCTTTGTAGCTGTAGTTTAAAACTGCACAATTTTCCTTTTGCTTGCGGAACCTTTATCTTAGAACAGCCTTAAGGCACCACTGTGATGTAGAAGCTTGCTAGATTTTAAGGCTAAGAGTATTACCTCCATTGATAACACACTCAGGTTATTACCATACCAGAGCCAAACTAGGCTGTGACCATAGAGTGGATTTTCAGTCACTATGCACTGGCAAGCAAGCCAGTGATATCCTTGTCCCCAATATCCACTGTGGGAAGAGAGGGTTTTTGGATATCACCCAAAAGAATGTCCGACAAGATCGTAGATTTAGCAGCAGTCAACCAGGAAGCAGACTGAGGTGATGGAATCTTTAGGCAGGAGTTTCTCCAGGTGGCTGTCAGGCAGTCGTTGAACTTTAACCATTAGGGTATGCAGCAGCAGCAGCAGCAGGATCTCTCAGTGGCTCCAAGGGACTGTCACACCTCATGCTGGGCTGTAAATTCCTACACAGACTGGTTAAGGATACATTGCATAGGCTTGGCAGGCTTTGATCCTGCTGGTTTTTAAGATGTTTAAACAATAGCCCAGGACAATTTACCAAAATCACAACTTTTTTACTAACCAGATATTTTTGTAAATAGAGACAGAAGGCTCAGAAGGCTGTCTTGTAGCCATCTCTGACAGATGCAGTCTCCACACCTTGCATACCTACAACAGTTAACACTATTCTTTATGCCTTTTTTTTTTTTTTTTTTTTTTTTTTGCCTCATTTCTCCAAAATTTCTGACTCTGGACCCTTGATCTTAAAAATGGGGGTAGAAGGGCGAAGATCCATCTTCTGTAACTTCTTCAAGCTGACTTTAGGGGCGTTGATCTTACCTAGCCAGGAACCTATAACCTTAGCCTATTTTACAAAGAGGCTATCAGGGTTAGATGTCATTAGGAACAATATTTAACCTTTGACAACTGCACAGACCTTTTCTCCGGCTACAGCAGTGTAGCTTGTTTAGCACTCTGGTTTGCAAAAGCATCTTCCTAGATGGCTTAGGAATGTGATCTCAACAATGCCTAAGATGCCTAAGTTACCTTTGCAGGCCTTTAGACAGATATCAATAGAAACACACTCAGGTTTGCAAACTTTTTCCTGAGCAAATGAACTTCATGTAACTAGTGTCAGCCAATCAATTAAAGCTTTTTGGCACATAAAGGGGTTGAGATTTAAACTATCCCCCACATTTTATAACATTAGCTTTTTACTATCATAGAGGATTGGCAAGTTCCTGTCTCTTACAAGGTAGTCATGAACATTAGGCATGCTTCCAAACTATCTTCCTATGACCTCCCGGCTCTGACCAGTTTTGAAAGGCCACGCACAAATGACACTAAGATCTGACATTTCTGCCATCCAAGCAGTGGCTTACTGCCTCTGGATGCTCCTCCATTGCTTTTGTCCCAGGAGTGTCTTCTCCACATTGGGATAAATGCCTCATTGGCATTTCCCTTTAGCTGGTCGCTGGACTCGAACTCAGGGCCTGAGCACTGTCCCTCAGCTCTACAGCTCAAGGCTAGCACTCTGCCACTTTGAGTCCCAGACTCGGGGCTTGAATACTGTCCCCTAACTCTTCAGTCCAGGGCTAGTACTCTGCCACTGTGAGTCTCGAGCTTGGGGCTTGAGTACTGTCCCCTGACTCTTTAGTCCAGGGCTAGTACTCTGCCGGCTGAATAGAGATGACAGTCTCACTGGGACCTTTTTCTGCCCGGGCTGGCTTTGAACCAGTTTGCAGATCAGTGAGTCTTATAAAAGGCCACTTTCCTCCAATTAAAAGCAACAAGGTGGTCAACATAGAAGTAGCTTTTAAGCATGCTCTTACCTGAAACTTATTAAGAGTCAAAGTTACATTTGACAAACTTTTAAGAATCCTCTGTGTTTTGCTCTGGACTTTGCTGGAGACTTAAAAAGACCTATAAGAGCAAACTAGAATAGCAATTCTTTTGATAATCTTAATTTTTCCTTTGTGCACATTGAGGCCAATGTCAAGAACAATTTTACATTTAAACTTTATATCCAAAAATCCATTTTTTTAAATTAATTTTTTAAAAGCCTCTTATTAATCACCTTTAATATTTCATACTTTAGTTTTCATTTGCGTTTTGAAAAGATCCCTTGAAATCTTGAGGCCAAGTGTCACTCATTGCCTCTTGGTTGCTTGTTTTAAAGCAGACACACATTAAGATTTTTAAACTCAAATGACAATTTTTCCTTAATGCAAAAATTACAGTCACCATCATTATACCACGAGGCTAGACTTAACACCTCTATAACTTTCAAAAATATCTTAATTGTAAAACATTAAAAGCAAGTCACATTATACAAATAACTTTTTAGCCCTCTTTTTAAGGCCTTTCTAATTTTAATGTTAACACATCCAAGGGGAAGTTTTAGCAATACTAATCAGATCATCACATCACTCATTTTAACCATCATGTTTTCAGTCTGTATCTGCAGGGAAAAGAGAGAACAAAGATGGGCCACTCAGCCCCTTCTATGGAATGGGCACACACCCAATCCGACTCTTTAGGGTTAGATGAACTGCGTTCGTGCCAGCTTGCCTCACCATGCGTGGACTCCTCCCAGGGCCTGTCCCACCATGCATGACCAGCTGAACTGCACTTCTGCTTGCTCACCCCTTACCCCTAAAGATAGGTCTTCTGTTGGCTTCTAAGTTTTTCCCCGTCTCTTCTCTTGGTTCTCGAATGAAATACAGTTTTAGACAGACAAAACAGGTAACATCTTTGGCAGTGTTAAACTAACCTTTACATTTAAATTTCTAATATTTATCCCCAAATTTTAGCCAAGGGAATTAGATCCCAAACAGCCAATGCATTTTTGTTAAGCCAGATAACTTGATTACAGAATAAACAGTCTTATGCATTTTAAAACATTAGTCTTTTAAAATACCAGATTTTCTAATTTGCAAGTTAAAGAATCTTTACAAAGCCATTTAAAACAATGTGAAGATTTTTTAAAATCTTTGGTAATGTCCAAACCTCATAACCTTTTGAATTTTAAATTTAAACTCACCCAATTGTTACAGCATGCTGACAATTCTTATCTTTGAACATGTTCACAGACACACACAAAACACACAGATCTTAAAGCGCGCAAAAATCAAAATCAGTTGTACGTACATTATTTCAAGTTTTTAAACAAAAATTTAAGACAGTATTTCTTTTAACTAGGTACCTTTGTTGGGCTTCATTTTCCCAGAGCTTGCTTATCTAGCAAGGCAATTCACTAATTAGTCTTTTGAATCTCTGTGCTGTTCTCATTCAGCAAGCTGAATCCAGAGTCTGCTGAGTGAGCCTGCCATACTCACCCAAATCTTCCCTACCTCAGAAAACATAAAACGAACACACACACTAAACAAGACAAACAAGTGGCCACAAAGACAAAATCAGGTCTCAGTGAATGGGGTGACATCTCACCACTGACCAGGGGGACTCGAACCCCCTCTACCCGATCTCGAGGACAGCCCCACCCAGGCGTCCAGGGGACGTCTCCCACTGGCCCCGCTGGCAGTCTTATAGCGCGTCCGCCAAGACTCTCCGCCAGCCCCAAGACCACACCTGCAGGCTTTCACCATTCCTGAAATATGAAAATTGTATCAAATGATCTAATTGTTTCTTATTCTCTTGGGGAGGGGCTGATTGCCCCTCTGTCCGTTTTTTGTTTCCTCTCGAGGAGGAGTTCCGTCTTTATGGAACTTAGATTTACATTCACTTTTTCAATGGTTCCCTTTTTCCGTTTTTTGTTTCCTCTCGAGGAGGAGTTCCGTCTTTATGGAACTTAGATTTACATTCACTTTTTCAATGGTTCCCTTTTTCCCTTTTTTGTTTCCTCTCGAGGAGGAGTTCCGTCTTTATGGAACTTAGATTTACATTCACTTTTTCAATGGTTCCCTTTTTCCGTTTTTTGTTTCCTCTCGAGGAGGAGTTCCGTCTTTATGGAACTTAGATTTACATTCACTTTTTCAATGGTTGCCTTTTTCCTGTGGGAACCGAGGATTAGTTTGTTCTCCCTTTGCTGCTGTGGAGGCTTTAGTGCCTCTTGCTTTTAGCATATGTTTTAAAATAGAGACAAACTATCCTTATTCTTAGAAGATGAACTCCCCATAATTTACTCGTTATCTTTCTCAGTCACAACTGAGGGGCCTGCAGCACCCCAACGAGCTTCTGACTACTATTCCAGGTGAAAAGAAAAGAGAGAGATGCTTACCTCCCAAGGTTCCTTGACTAAAGAGACTGCTTCGTGCCCCGCTCTGAGCCTCAGCCTCTGCCCCACGTTGGGCGCCACCTGCCGCGGACCGGGTTCTGTCGGGACGACGGAGGACACCTAAGGGAGGAACCTGGAATAGGTGGGGAGATGGCAAACAGACAACTCACACACATTAGGAGTGGATGCTGAGTGCGATTTAATGCAGAGGATAACAAACTTTTATAGCAAAAGTCTCCATGAGAAAGGGCAAAAGGTTACACAATCTTGCTGCAGGGCTTCTTTCTTGGGTGGTCACCTGATAGGCACTTGTTTCCGGCTTATCTCTAAGAAATATAATGGGTTTTGATGTTTTGTCATCAACTAACCATTACCTTATTTCTATAGAGGCCTTAACTGTCCCATAAGATCTTTCCCGTTCTTTCCTCAATAGCAAGGTCACCGAGGCCTACATCTAGCAAGTCTTTTAGTAAATGAAAGAGAGTAACAAGAAGTTCTTTCTCCTAAGTAGTTATCTCAGCAATTGCCATACATTCCTTCTATTCTAGCCGCGCCTACAGCTTCTTGTAAATCTCTTACAAACAATTCCTTCTGCTGAAATGACATCATGAAACCCCCAATATTTACTTATGACTTGTCTACTAGCCTCCATAAGAGGGGTTTTAGGTTAGCACTTAACTCTGGTGAGTTAGTCATATTTTTAAGACACTCATCAGATATTGGAGTCGCCAACACTCTTAAGAAAGAGCTTTGAATAAGGGAACGTTGACAATGAGCAAGTACAAAGAGCAGTAGAAGCAGTAAAAGATTAATAGGCACTCTTATGCAGTGAAGAAAGGCAGAAACACATCTTTTCCCAGGGGTTTTTCCAGCCTTTTCCCAGGACTAGGCCTCTTAGAAGCCCTATTCTCCGAGGTAGACTTCGGTGAAGTCCCAAAACTTGGAGATAGGTTTCTGTAAAGCCCCATTCTCTGAGGTAGACTTCGGTGAAGTCCCAAGACTCACAGATAGGTCTCGAAGCCCCTATCATGGTCTGATAGATGGTCTCCCATGCTAAGCAGACTCTACTGGGGTCGGCGTGGCAGTTTTCCAGCAGGTAGCTCACCACAAGTACTGTGTCCACATACAAACTTAGACTCCATGACTTGTAGTGTCCCTCCCCTCCTGGGGTAAAGGAAGGAGTGAGGGTGTTAAACCCCTTAGACAGTTCTCCCAGGAAGTGACATCAGAAGCCCATTCAGCTGATCCGGAGCATATTATCTGCTGTGTGCACCTGTATTACGCTGAGGCCTATACCACACCCTATACTGCTCTATGCTGTAGGGTGGAGCTTACAGCCCTACTTCCTGTGACAGCCAGGAGTAACACACACTATGTTATTAATACATAAAACTTTCTTACTTCCAATTAATTAGCAAAAAAAGAAGCTAAGGGACAGCACCCAGACCCTGAGTTTAAGCCCTCTTGCACACACACACACACACACATGCACTAATGAAATTATGACTGTTGCTCCTGTTAAGTGCCTTCAGCAGTCTTCTACCTCTGCTTTGTTTTTCTCCAGGGACCAAAGCGGATGTTGGATGCCCAAGTGCAGACGGACCCTGTATCCATCGGACCTGTGGGCAAAGCCAAGTAAACAAACCAGCGCCGCCCCGCCAGGTTCTCCTCCCCCAGGATGCATTCTGTCAACTCCATCCCCTGCCCTGACACACACTGTGTATATATCTCCTCTTCACACAGCCGTCCCGTAGCCTCCTGCCTGCGCACTAAACCTGAGCTTAAGCCCGACTGTTGTACATTGAGGTGTATCATTTACGTCTCAGATCTAGTCTTTCCTAGAAAATCACCATAAAGGTGGGTTAGCGGGCCAACTAGTTAAAGCAGGAAAGTGGATGGTTGTCCGCCAGGAGGAGAGGGAGGTAGAGGAAGACATTGGTGTCATGTGCAATAGAGGTAGCAAGTAAGTTGCAGGAAAAAAAACAAAAAAAACATATCTATGAAGTGGGGGAATGGAGCTTTTCAGCAAGTGCTCATCCTCTAAGCCTGGAGAGGGGAGAGGAGGATCCACTTGTTTAAGTGAATGCTTCAAAGAGGGAGAATTCAGGCGAGCTCCATGTTGGGCTGGTGCCAGTTTCCTAGAATGGAGTGTGTGGGATCTGAAGAGGGGGAGAATTCAGAGCTGGTGTTCAAAGTGGGTCCTTGAGAGTCATTGATGGGGTGGAAATGGTTTCTTGGAGAGCGCTTGCAATCATTTGGGGAAGTAATTGTTTCTGGGTCTCAGGGGCAAGGGTGAGAATTATAACTTCAAAAAAGAAAAAAAAAAGTAATAAAAGTAAACGGGGTTGCAGGTTTATTTTTCAACACAAGGGGGAGCCATAGCCTCCTTTTTTTTTTTTTTTTTTTTTTAATCTGCCACCAGAATCCCTAACAAAGATTGAATGCTTCTCAGATGGCGGAAGGGCTGGCTTCATATGTTCCGTCTGACACTTATCACGAGTCTGTCTGTAATTTCCTAATGTTCTCAGGTTCTCTGATTAAAAAAACCTCCCTATAACTCCAATTAATAAACATTTACAGATTATTCACATACCTAAGGGTTGCTTTTTGTTTTTCAATTTTTTTGCCCCCAATTCCTGTACAGAGGACTAAACAGGACCGTGAGTCCATTAAAATGACTGGCAGTCAGGTATACTGTACCTTTCTTTTTCTGATTTAATAATGAGAATTAAAAAAAAAAAAACCTAATGTCCTTCTCCAGAATCTTTTGATGGTCAACTTTTAAAGCAGATCGCTGTTACAGCTTGATCTTCACCTCCATTGTCCTCTCTGGAGGGTAACACTCTCCCACATCTGCCTGGGTCTCCTTGCAGAGAGAACGTTCAGAAAAATGCTGTCATAGGCCAGGCTACAAGAGGAATTCACTGGTGTCATAGCTGGGAACAAGCTTAGGGAAAGAACAGGAAGGGGGGGGGGGGAGGGCAGGGAGGGGAGGGGCAAGCGCTGGCCTCAGCTGGTGCATAAATTGCATCATGCATCTGGTGTTACCTTGAGGACAGGGGACCCGCCCTGTGTCCCCTGGAGTTGAGTCACAGCCTGCCCTGGGAGGTAGGAGGAGCAGCAAGGCCAATAAATAACCTGAGGAGCTGAGCTTCTTGAGCAGAGTGTACATGCATGGATGACGTCCACTACACACACACACACACACACACATTCAGGTGTATCTACAACCATCCTTTGCACATGCATACCGTCTGCAGGAGTGGACCTGTGCATGCACACAGACGTGCAAGGAGCACAGAGCCACACGTGCATATTGGCTCACACAAATACATCCATCAACTGTGCAACCACTTCCCAGGGAGTAGAAATGATCCCTGAATGAATGCATGATCCTAACACACGGTGGGGGAGGGGGGTCACCTTTGGCAAAAAGACATTTGGGGGCTAGGTCCAGAAAAGACTAGTCTCAGCAGGTGTTGGTAGCTTATGCCTATAATCCTGGCTACTCAGGAGGTTGAGATCTGAAGCTCAGGGTTCAAAGCCAGCCCTAGCAGGAAAGCCCATGAGAAGGAAGGAAGAGAAAAGGAAGGAAGGAAGGAAGGAGAGGGAGAAAGAAAGAAGAAAGAAAGGAAGGAAGGAAGGAAGGAAGGAAGGAAGGAAGGAAGGAAGGTCTTCTAAATACAGATTTAGATTTGGTGGTTTGCTGTCTCCCAACATGCACCCGCTGAGTTCTAGATTTTAAAGACCCAGTGGGCAGAAGTCAGGTCCCAGCCCTCACCCTGCTGACCAGATGAGGAGGTGGCACCCCGCCCCATAAGAGCTCCTTGAGCTCCACTGGCCACTGGGCAGGAAAGGCCCTGGAGGGCTGCCCGAAGGGTGACTGTCCGTCCACTGCGCCGTCATTACTGAAAGAGGCCGAGTCTAGGAAATGAGGCAGCTGGCGACCCCTTTGTCTGGAAACCCCTCGGGGGGCGCTTGCTGCCACCTTCAGTGAGCCCTGGTCCCCAGGTCCCTTAGGAAAGTGACAGTGTCATTTGCCAGTTTCACCTCGCTGGGCCCCAGGAGAAATGTCAGACAGAGCCAGAAGCAGATTGAAGGACCAGCCCCTCCCCCTTCCCGGAAACAAAACAGGAAAAAAAACAAACAAAAAGAGGCTTTGTGCTGAGCCTCTTGGCAAAGAATACCAGTGGGGGATACACCTGCAGTTCCCCCCCCCCCCCCACACCCCACCCCTTGGACAAAGAGGAGGAGGACCTCTTAATGAAATGCTTGTGTGCCTTTTTTGTTTTTTTAAACCCCTAAATGACTCACTGATGGGAGTGTAAACTCACCTGTAGTCAGAGAAGCAAGCATCACACCCACCTTTCTGTTGTGGATTGTGTGTGTGTGTGTGTGTGTGTGTGTGTGTGTGTGTCTGTCTGTCTGTCTGGGGGTGATGTGTATGGCATGTGTGTTTTATGTGTTGTGTGTTTGTGTGTGATGTGTGTGGTATGCATGTTTGTGTGGGCTGCATGCATTGTGTGTATCTATATGTTCATGTAATTGCTGGGTGTTGTCTGTGTGGTATGCATGTTTGTGTGTTGTATGTTTCTGAATGTATTTGGTGTGTGGTATGTGTGTGTTGTTTGTGTGTATGTATATGACTTGTGTGATATGTTTGTGTGGTATGTCTGCAGTATATGTATGATTTGTGTGATACGTTTGTGTGTGTTGTGTTTGGTATGTGTGGTATGTGTGTTTGTGTGTGTGATATGTGTACAGTATGTGTGTGGTATGTTTGTGTGTGTGTGCTGTGTGTTTGTGTGTTTGGTGTGTGATTTATGTGGTATGCTTGTGTATTGTGTGTGGTATGTGTGTTTGTGTGGTATGTCTGTGTATGTGGTGAGTGTGTTTGGTATGTGTGGTATATGTGTTTATGTGGTATGTGTTTGGCATGTGTGTGGTGTCTTGTGTGGTATACGTGGTTTCTGTGTGGCATGTATATATGTGGTGTGTGTAGTATGTATGTAGTATATGTATGGTGTGTGGTCTGTGGTATGTATGTGGTGTGTGTGCTGGGTATGTTGTGTGTTTGTGTGTACTTGGTGTGTACATGTGTGCGTGTGTTGTGTGTGTGCGGTTGGGAGGTGATTGCATTTCTGATGCGTTCACGGGAAATACTAATTTCCCTTGGGAGCTCAGGAAGCCCTTAGGACGCAGACAGATTGAGGCTGGGGTGGAAGATTTCCAAATGTGGCCGAGCCCCTCGGCAGGGCGAAACAGCAGGGAAAGGCAGGCAGCAGGCAGCATGGCGGGAGAAAGGTCGCGGCTGCCTGCCCAGCCTGGAGGGCAGAGGTGTCCTCGGGGCTCTGCTCACTCCTTACTTCTCTGCTGGTTTGTTTCCAGGTCCCCAGGGAAGCGCATCCTCTCCCAGGCCAGGAAGATGTGGGCTTTCCAGGAGTGGAGGTAGCGAGCTGGACCACTGGCCATGCCACTGTGCAGGCACACACACACACACACACACACACACACACACACACACACACACACACACACACACACACACACACACACACACACACTGGTTCCAGCTGACTGTGACTTTGGCTGGTATCCATAAAAGAATTGGTTTAAAGGAACAGTTGTTCTCAGCAGCCCGTGAGGCCGCTCCTGAATCCTTCACCGGGAAGCAGAAGCCACATCCCTAAAGAGATGCTGGCCAGGGAGGGAGACTATGAGAGCCCCGTCTCTCTGTCTGTCTCTGTCTCTCTGTCTCTGTCTCTGTCTCTCTCACACTCACACTCACACACACACTCACACACACACAGCAGTTGGATTGCCCTCGTGTATTGCAAACAGTTTGGGCACTCTGGCTCCCATTAAGTTAACTTCTGTGGAAGCCATAGTGGGCCCACTAGCTCCTTGTGCAAGCGCACAGCTGGTCCTAGGTCCTAAGAAACAAACTCCAGCTGACACAGTGGCTCAGCCCAGCCCCTGGGGAGACAGAGATCAGGAGGATTAAAGTTGAAGCCAGTCTGGGCAAAAGGTAAGACACCATCTCACTAAAGAAGCTGGTCATAAGTCTGGTGGTACACGTCTGTCACCCCAGCTACATGGGAGGGATGAGGAGAAGGACAGAAGTTCTAGGCCAGCTTCTGGCAAAAATGGAGATTTTGGCTAAAAAAAAAAAAAATTACTAAAGCAAAATGGCCTGGAGGTACCGCTCAAGTGATAGAGCTCCTGCCTAGGAAACGTGAGGCCCTGGGTTCAAATCCTAGTAACCCCAAAGAAGGAAGGGAGGGAGGGAGGGAGGGAGGGAGAGAGAGAGAGAAAGCCAGGCCAAGGGTGTAGCTCAGTGCTTGCCTAGTACAAGCCAAGCCGAGTACTGTTTCCTCCACAACACTGCAGATAATCATCATCACCATCACTGATTAATTAGATTTTTAGAATGAAATCATCTCCCCTACCTCTCTTAAAGGGAAGGAAAGGGAAGTTGTACCAACTGTTCCCTTGTCTGCCTGCCAAGCCAGGGCAGGGCTGTGTTTGGTGGGCACGGCACATGCCACGGCTCCACACCACTCCCTCAATGCTACTCTCTAAGCGTTTTTGGTGGGGTTTATTTTTATCTTGGTGGTAGTTCTAGGGCTTGAACTCAGGACCCGACCTGGGCACTGTCTCTGAGCTTTTTCACTCAAGATTGGCACTCTACCACTTGAGCCACAGCTCTGCTGCAGGCTGTTTAGTGGTTCATGGGAGAGAAGAGTCTCACAGACTTTCCTGCCCAGGATGGCTTCAACGTGCGATCCTTGTATCTCAGCCTCCTGAGTAGCCAGGATTACAGGCGTCACCCGGGGAGCCAGACCTGTCTAAGCCTTTTAAGAATACAGTTTTGCAGGGTGAGGAGAG